ATGTGGCATTGGTCAGGCTGCAGTTGGAGTACTGTGTCCAGTTTTGGGCGCTGCACTTCAAGAGGGATGCTTTGAATCTGGAGAGGGTCAAGAGGAGGGCCATTCACATGATTAGTGATCTCTGTGCAAGACCCTACGAGGGGAGGTTGGGGGATCTGGATCTCTTCAGCCTTCACAAGAGATGTCTGAGGGGAGACATTGTAGCAGCCTATAGGTTTATCAAGGGATGACAAGAGAGAATTGGAGCTATTTACCAGGGCACCCCCAGGAGTAACTAGGAATAATGGGTACAAACTAGTGGAGAGCAGATTCAGGTTAGACATTAGGAAGAAATTTTTCACAGTAAGGGTGGCCAGAATCTGGAATGGGCTGCCCAGAGAGGTGGTACTATCACCTAATTTGGCGGTCTTCAAGAAGAGGCTAGATAGGCACCTGGCTGGGGTCATCTGACCTCAGTCCTCTTTCTTGCCTGGGGCAGGGGGTTGAACACGATGATCCTTCAGGGTCCCTTCCGACTCTACAATCTATGAATAAATAACATTATTGGTAATTTGGCTTTTTTTGGCCAGTAAAGCCGATAATGTCCCTGATAAATGTTGCATGCATGCATGCAGCCACAGCATGCACATGGTCAGGAATGCAACCCGCAACTTGGAGAGGGTTGCATAGGGTCTATAGCCTGGTGAGTGTGACCTGGCACAGCTGGGAACAGCAAGGCTGCATGGAGAGGCTGTGAGCTCCATGCTGCAAGCAGTGGCACGCATAAGGGGCGCGTCGCCAGGGCAGCATGAGGCAAGAAGCGGTAAGCACCTTCTCTGTGCAGCCCTGCTGTTCCCAGCTGCACTGGATTGTGCCTGCTGGGCTCTAGAGGCACCCAGAAGAGGGAGGCAGGGAACAGCAGCTGGTTGCCACCACTCACCCTGTGCTGCCCTGGTGATGCACCTCCTGCACCTGCCTCTGCTTTGAGGGGCACAGCTCTGCGCTGCTGCCCTCACTGCAGCCCTGCACACAGGAGGCGCATCCCGGGGTAGCGTGGGGCAAGCAAGTTCTCCGTGCAGCCCCACTGTTCCCTGCCACCTTGCTTCCCTGTCCCCAAGCCTCCGCAGCCCAGCGGGCACAACCCAGTGCATCAGGGAGCAGCAGGGTTGTGCAGGGATCTTTGCACCACTGCAAGCTCTGCATTGCCCTTGGACATGCCTCCTTCATGCCAACCTGCAGTGAGGGCAGCAGCGTGGGGTTGCACCCCTCAAAGTAGCACCTGAGCCAGCAGCTACCCCCCATACAGATCTGGGGGGTGTGGGTTCCCGTGGCCCCTGGGACATGCATGTGGCAGCAGGGAGCTGGCCCTCCCCCTCCCCCGGATGAGCCACCCAAGGTTCTGTCCTACTACCTGCTGGGGCTCTGCAGCCACAGATTGTGGCCCTGGGCCCCAAGCACCCCAGCGCTGCCTAGCTCCCTCCCTACAGGGGTCTCAATCCCCCTCTTCCCCCCCTCCCCATCTTACCTGCAGGAGCTGCTCTCAAGGCTACATGGGGCCATGTGCATGTACTGTACATGCATATGGTGTCCCCTGTCTCACTGCCTTCCTTCTGCTTCCTCCCAGCTCCCTGCAGGCTGGAACTTTGCCAGCCTGCAGGGAACTCATTGCAGCAGCTCATCTGGGCGGGCATGGCCCCTGCTACTAGATGTACCCCAGGAGGCATGGGGTCATGTGCCCTGGATCTGCGCAGGGGTGTATGGAAGTGCGGCCTGCCACTCTATGCAGGCTGAGGCTGGGGCAGTGCTGGGCTCTTCCAGGTGGCGGGGAGCTGAGCTGGGCTGCGCTTGGGGTGGGTGGCAGCGGTGGCGTTGGGAGCGGGGCTACGGGTGGGAGCATAGCCTCACTTCCAGTGCCGCTGCTGCCTGCCGCTGCCTGCCCCAAGTACAGCCCGGCCTAGCTCCCTCCTGCCAGGAAGAGCTCGGCACTGTCCCAACCCCAGCCCGCAGCTGCAGCCTGCCCTGCCTTGCGTAGACCCAGGGATGCACGCACCCCCTGCGTCCTCTGTGCAGGGCAGAGCCCTGATCTGCTCCTCCCACCAACCTGGCCCTTTCCCTTCCCCCCGCCCCTTTCCCCACAGATTTACCTGCTGGGGGGGGTGCACACTCAGCCCCCCCCCCAATTTTTCTCCTTCCTCCTATGGTTTCAGGTCAGTGTGGTTATTCACAGTGAGACTAAACAACTCATTAGACATAGGTTTATGAATGATTAGAGGAAAAGCAAGGGTGCCAAGTAATCACATCAGTTCTGCAGAATCTTGAGTAAAGTTATCTATTTTAAATAGAGATATCCTATGATTTACAACAAACATGCTCTTTGGGCCCAGTGCTGCTACCTTTGTCTTTGCCATTGTCTTCAATGGGAGATGGATTGTACCCTGTATATACATGAAAATTGAACATGTTTGAAAACAAAAGCTGCTTGCAGACATTGGGAGGGACCCCGAAAACATAGAAGCAGCAGTGTGCTAGTTGGAGCCAGCTCCATAGCATCTGCAAAAATCAGACACTTCAGTGGGGCTTTTTGGTGCTTTTAGCTAAAGCTGATTCAACCAGCTATTAGAGAAAAAGCACCAAAAAAGCCCCACTTAAGTGCCAAATCTTACAGACATTGGCCGAGCCAGGTTCAACAAAGGTATTGCCTCTCCTGGTCATGTGCAGGACTCAGTGTGGAAATGTGCCAAGTTTAAAGTAAAGCGCTGGTGGGGGGGACGGGGGACACCTTGTCTTGGATTCAATCAAATATGGTGCTTCAAAAAGAAATCAAAGTAATGTATCATATTTGTTCCTATGTGTATATTGTGTGAAAATAAAAATGAATTATGTAAATATAAAAAAATCCAAGTTCCACTAAGTGCAAAGTATTTCTAAGTGCAAAAATCCGGATAGCTTCAAATAGCTTCACAGTAAAAACTGAAGTGGTAATGTCACTGCATGACTTTGTTCCATTTGTTATAATTTCTAGTGAGCATAATCCTATTTCTATTGTTTTTCTTTTCTTGGAAATATTTATATCTTTATCTGGACTTAAACATCCTGTCTTCCTTCCTGGTGCTAAGCAGTGAAGTGTGAGCAGAGAATAATTTGCCTCCTTGTTCTCTTTGTAACAGCCAGAAGAGTAAAAGTAAGACAAGGTAGTAAAGGACTTAGATGCTGACTAGCCTTCAGGTTTTCACTGGGTATATAACTATTACTTTATTATGCATGCTTTAGATAGATACTTCCCTTCAGAAGACATACTTTTTAGTTGGGCATGTTTTTGACAATTTTTAACTGTTCAGGCTGAAATTCTCAAAGGCAGGGGTTTATCTTAGGCTGGCTTTCTTTTGAAAGTCTTAGCAAAAACAGTTGGGCCATTTCAAAGTGAGACATTTTGGAAAATGTTGTTCTACCTATGCTAAATTAACATGAAGAATTGTATTTGGAAAATATAATGCCTTTGTGCTTTAGAACAGGGATTTGAAATGTGTGTGTTCTTATTTTTGGCAGGAAGGTGCTGTAGTGATCAGTCCGTCTGTTTTCAACATTCCCCATTGAATTGATTAAATTGAATAAACTGAAATTCTGCGCCTGTAGAATAAGCTGGTCACTGAGCAGTTGTCCAGTTCTGTGGTGTCTCTTTATGCCTAATTTTAAAAAAAAATTCCCTTTATGGTTGCAGTTTCAGTCAGGAGTAATCTGCTGCTGGTCTCTCTGTCTTCCAGGCCCAGCTCTCAGGATAAGTTTTCTTTAGTGTTTAAAAGTGCAAACAGATGTCACCCTTGTGCTGCCATGAACATGTTTATGGCAGCACAAGTTGAGAGTGAACAGATATCTTTGTTCTGCTCCAAGTGCTCGAAAATGTTTGTGCAATGATTTCTTGTAACAGTTTTGTTGCACTTTATCAGGGAGGATTCCTGCTAATTTATGGCATGATTCCTGTAGCTCAGGGCTGCCTGTGCTTTTCAGCCTCTTTGGGCAGGTGATTCTCAGGTGTCTCTCTTACACTGCAGAGCAAGGGAACCTGACAGGGTTCCCTGGGTAGGAGCCAGGCACCTGGGGCTGTTGTTCCAAAGGATTCAGGCCCCTAAAGTCCCCAGAGCATCAGGGGCCTGATCCTGCTGGACATTAGCCCCAGATGATGTTTGTACCTGCCAGTCAATCAGATCAACTGTCTTAGGGCATCTCAGCACAGCCAATCCTGTCACCAAACGATGTCTGTTTGTAGCCTTACTTCTACCACCAGGCTGCTGCCTTCAGCCTGCTGCCCACCTTTTGCCATAGTCTTCTCATGATGTACTTGTCCCTGATCCCTACCTACCATCATTCAAACCACTTTCTTTTCTAACTTTCTGCTCACTTGCTCATCAGAGTTAAGTGGAGCCCTCTATGAGCAAAATGCTGAACTAATCCTTGTTCCTTACAGGGTGAGATGTGCCCAATCTTTCTCCTTCAACTCATTTTAGGAAAAAAAGATGCAACAGCTTTGTTAAAATGTCTATAATTTAAGGTCAGTGAGAACAAATGTATATTGTTGTTTGAGGGGCTGACTCTGCTCATTCTCTTAGAGCAGTTTTACATTTATTTTATTATGTTGTCTACTCACAGTTTTTCAAATGATCAAAAATAGGCACACAGGTTACTTTCTTCTTGACCCTCCTGATAATGTGATTCGGCTCTTAAGAAGTACAAGTTATTTCCTGATTCTAGTAGGTATTTTTTTGGTGAGTCTGAGTTACAACTGCGTTACGGCTTCAGAACTGAACAGTTTCTGCATCAAGTGTCTTCATTGAATATCTTAATAATGATATAAACTAGACATTGAGGTTTTGTTAGATTATGGTGTCATATAGTAGCTTTCATAATTTTGAAAGATGGCAATGAGGTGGGGCTTCCTCTGCTAGTCCCATGAATGGGAGAAGAGGCCCTAAATGTATCAATCTTCACTTGTATCTTACTACTTTTCTTTCTTATTTTTATAACAGAAAAAATACAGGAAGGGATCAGTTGATATTGCAAAAATCAAATGTGTTGAGATTGTGAAGAATGATGGCGTTATTCCCTGTCAAAACAAATATCCATTTCAGGTAAGATCATTTGGTTTATGTAAAATAGAATATAATCCTTTCAATACAATTGTGTCATTTTACATGTGTTATTCATGTGCATGGTTTGAATTACACACAAATTGTTTTAATCATAAATTAGAGTATTTGATTTTAGAACCATAGAAAATTAGGGTTGAAAGGAACCTCAGGAGGTCACCAAGTCCAACCCCCTGCTCAAGTAGGATTATCTCCAACAAGATCATCCTAGTCGAGGGTTTCTCTACCCAGGTCTTAAAAAACCTCTAAGGATGGAGATTCCACAACCTCTCTGGGGATCCTGTTCTACTGCTTTACTGCCCTCTTAGTGAGAGAGTTTTTCTGTATATCTAACCTAAACTTCCCTTGTTGCAATGTGAGGCCATTGTTCCTTGTCCTGTCATCTGCCACCACTAAGAACAGTCTAGTTCCATCCTCTTTGTAACCACGTTTCAGGCAGTTGAAGACTGCTATTAAATGCCCCCTCAGTCTTCTCTTCTCCAGACTTTATATGCCCAGTTTCTTCAGCCTTTTCTCATCATAAATTGTGTCCTCAGCCTCCAAACCATTTTTGTTGCCCTCTGCTGAACTCTATCCAGTTTGTCAGAATCCTTTCTGTAGTGCGGGGACCAACACTGGGCACAGTACTGCAGATGTGGCCTCACCAGAGCCAAATAGAGGGGAATAATCACATCCCTTGATCTGCTGACAACACTTCTATTAATCCAGCCCAATATGCTGTTAGCTAGGCCTAGACAAAGCGGGAAGTATTCGCTTCAGATTCAGATTCAGCCAAATCAGAGGGACAACTGGGAGTTTTGAATCAGTGTCCTGATTTCAATCCAGCCAAATCAGCTATGGAGATTCGGCCATAGACTAAACAGGCAGCAGTCCTCACCACGCTGGACACAGCTGCCTGCA